CTCATTTCTACAACCGCCGTCCTTATTTTAGTTCACTTTCATCAATAATTTAATAATAATTTATATTTTCATATAAACATAAATTTACATGAAAATGCATTTTTACAGGCACGAACTTGTTATGCTAAATTTTCACGACCGATTTTATATGGTGTGCGTTACACATTGCAAAGCGACTCATCAATTACATAATGGAAAAATACTACACAATTTTCAACAATATGAATTTTTTAGAAAATTACATGAAAATGGGTAACTGTTGACTGAAGATGGTCATTTCAACTCAAAAAATAGTACTACTAATATTAATAATATACTTGTAGCAGACGCCTAGGAAATTGTGTTTTCTCCTCCTACTCGAGATAACTTTTACACTCTGTCCCGTTACATCTCAAAAGTTGCACTTCTTCACCGAGTTCCATGTTAAAACTCAGTCAGTCGGCTTCGTCACTGCAGCTGCCTAGTGTCACAACTCACTACAGTGTTAATTGGCACAAACAATTATGAATGCCGTTTCCTAAGTACTCAATGCATTTCCCAATTCCTTAAATTGTCCAGATAAAGTGCACTGAAGAAAACATAAACCAAAAGTCAATAACACGGACATAAGAATTAGTGCTAATAGAAGTGAATTAGATGAGTGATTTTTTTAAACCTTTAGTACGCATAACTGAAATACTCATGTATCATTCACAAGATGCTTGTATCACAGAGGGCACTGAAACATAAACTAAGCCTAACATGAAATACCTTGGAGTTGTTGTATCCTCTGGTCTTTCTTGGTAACTCTATATCTTGTCGATTTCTGTAATGTAATCTTTGCAACTGTTTCGAATATTACTTCATAAAATTAGATACAATAATGTACGAGATGCTGCAAATTCAACACTGAAACAATAATACTGTTTTCGAACAAAGCGAATTATTATTACTGTTGCACCTCGCTGCAGTGTTAATCTGCTTATACCCTTATTATTGCTGTATCCTAAGTATTGCACTCATTTTCTCATTTCCTTGCACTGTGTAAATAGGGTGCAACGAAGAAGTTACAGTGAACTATAAGTAAGTAACGCTGACGCAAGAAATGGTAGCAGTCGAAAGAAATGAAATGAGTTGAAGACCCTGTAATGATACTAGTAATCTCCCTTATTCCAAAGTAGTACTTGACTTATTTACCTATGCATTTTAACGTGTCTTCTAATTATCTTATTTTTGTCTTTGTAGACATTGCCTAAGGTGCCGTTGTACGCATCGTCTGGAAGCAGTCTTTAATTTCATCTACCTTCCGCGAAGTTTGATGTACGAAAAGTCGAAATTTTGCTGACTGGAAAACGCTACAATTGGTGTTACTCATGCGGCGATACGCCAGACTAGACACGTTATAGCAATGTATGCCTGTAATAACATTACCTACATAGTAAATACAATGCTAGTTACAAAAGCTCGTCATTATCTTTTCATTGCGTACTTACAAGAAGAAAACCTTCACCTTACTTCTCATACTAAGTACTGGAGATTCCGCCTAGTACTCACTTTTACTTGCTCTCTAGAAAATGCTTTCTACTCTATTCGCAGATGACTATTAGACTTCTGTCACATGAAACGGTAAAACATAAGGCTTATGCAGTTTAGAAGTTAGGGTATATTTGCATTTATTGACACAAAATTTATGTACATCTTCCACTTTCAGACAAGAAAAGTCTCAAAGTAATTCAGGATTGCGCGCAGTGCACTAATAGTATATTCATTACTATAATTATCCTGCATAACTGCGAAGCTTCTGTTCAATTGCCTGCGAAGTTGCATTATCTCCATGCAGGGTTTCTTCACTGAACCTTCACACGGCACACGACTTCGTAGCAACGGATCTTTCCAAAACCATCTGCGACACAGGCGAATTACTTTGTCAACTAAAAGTATTGATTTAAATATTAGTAAGAGTTTGATTTACCTGTAAACTTAGGAATTTGAGTGTGACATAGCAGCATATGCCGGCAAGGTATTCTTTGTGCCCTAAATATTCTGCAGGTACAAGTTGAATTGGTATAATCCACTTGGTGCAGGTATATGCCGTGATTTATGATAGCCATATCATCAGTATACATCTCTATATTCATCCGACGATTACGGCTATAGTCCTTGGCAATTAACTTAGCGGCATAAGGAGAGTATTTTCGTAATATCGGCATAACTGGTTCCGGTGCGTGGTACTTATGAATCCGACAACCTTCGACGATGACTTCAACACTACGACGCTTCTCTGTGCGTACACACCATTTATACGTCTTGTACATGCATACGTGTAGGGGATCTCTTCTGTGGAGATATCGTTTTAGGTGACTGTGAGAGCTTTCAACTCTATTGTTGGTACTATTAAACAGCAACAGAGTATTCGGCATATAAGCCGCAGCCCACGTCTCCTTCTTAGGCACCCAGTAATGCCTGACATAATTCCACACCCTCCGATCAACCATCCTAATGACACTAAGGTAGTGATGAAATCTAAACGGTTAGAAATCAATGCATTTACCTTTCAGGTGTCGTAGCTTTAACAAGACGATATAAAAACCTGCGTACAAAAGGATTTCGAGTCTAAATGCATCAAGTATTAATTACATTCACCTCACCTTCCTGCTGAAAGCCCGGCATACATGAAATGCACAGATGACGATTTTCGCCTGAATTTGACTATTACGCACGGCGGATATCTTGTTGCTGCTTTATTTTGACTGAACTAGCGTATACACATACCCTAATACTTCCTCGCGTTTACAATTGTGCCCTAACGTTGCGATTACTCGACATCCGCAACGTAATTCAAAAGGCACTTGCGAAGGAATACGATAGTGTATTATTGCAGCAATCAACAATTCAAAAATCGAGCGAGTACAAAAGGTATCAATTTTTAACATGCAAGATTTAGAATAATAAATAAATGAAAGTACAATTACGCAATGAAAGTATAGTACGATTATGAGTACTAAAATGGGTCACTACAATAGCCCCTCCGTAGAATGCAGGTAAATGAAGTTTACCTGTATTCGGAATGATATTGTAAATTATAATTACAGAAGAAATATATACGAGTTTCTGGTATGAAAACCGAATTGAGGACTTTAAGTTTTTGAGGTTTGATAATATAACTGTATATATGCAAAAATGTTAACAACTTCGAAACGAACCAAAATGTTTAGAAAGTTGTGCAAAATGTAACAATAAAAGCAGAAAAATTATTATTAGAATAATAATGAGGTTGTTATTGTAAAGAGTTACAGAATAGATTTATATCTTAACATACAGTTAATAGCATAGTAATAAGGTAGTATGGAAATGAATTGGGTAAATATCCAGTTACCTGTATTTCCATGAAAGTTGGTTGTACAAGTGGAATTGTACAAGAAGAGATGGCTGTGCCAGAGAAGAGTGCAGCATTAGCTGCTGCTGCTGATACGGTTGAAAGTGAACGTCCATCAGCATGTTGTTGTTGTTGCTGGCTGTTGTTACTCGGCGTTGAGGAGTAACTTGAATTGATGTTTGCTGCGGTTGGAGAGTAGAAGTTGGTTGATTGATAGCCATTCCAACAAGAGCAGTTGGCACAAGCTGTGGTAAACCAGTGGTTTGAATCAATTGACTGTTAGGAACAACAGTCATGACTTTTAATGGAGCTCCTGGTGCCAGAGTGATAAACTGGGGAGTAGCATAGGAGCGTGCAGCTACAGTACAAGGTTGACCACTGACAGAGACGTCAGTTGCCATCATTGTTGCTTGTTGCTGATGTTGTTGGATATAAGTTTGCTGTTGAGCTGGTTGTAACTGATGAGCTTGTGCTTGAATCTGTTGTTGTTGAGGTGATTGGGTAAACTGTTGTAAGTGAACAGCTGTAGGACCGGCTTGAGTAAATGGAGTTGTTTGTTTGTTTGTAAATGGAGTGTTTGAACACCTGTAGACATTGCTGAAGCTTGAGGACAGAGAACTGGAATTGAGGTGTTGCATAACAGCCAGCTGCTTGAGTATCAGGGTGAACTGGGATAGCAGTCGCTGTGCCGCCAGGTCCGGAGGTACTTTTATCAGAAATATCAGTAATTATACATCCAAATGTTATGAAGTTATAAAAGTTAATGCGATGGCAAAGATGATTTATTCCACTGTGTATACTTCGAAATGATGTAGTCCATCAATCAGCTATGTCGAGCTCGCCAATTTGTTGCTGCTTTATTTTGACTGAACTAGCGTATACACATATCCTAATACTTCCTCGCGTTTACAATTGTGCCCTAACGTTGCGATTACTCGACATCCGCAACGTAATTCAAAAGGCACTTGCGAAGGAATACGATAGTGTATTATTGCAGCAATCAACAATTCAAAAATCGAGCGAGTACAAAAGGTATCAATTTTTAACATGCAAGATTTAGAATAATAAATAAATGAAAGTACAATTACGCAATGAAAGTATAGTACGATTATGAGTACTAAAATGGGTCACTACAATCTCACAGTTGGCCGAATCCATTACGAAAGTTTCTGTAATGGACGTATCCTGCATTATTCTTTGGAATTGTTCCAATATCCAAGCTACATCACATGACCTCTCTCATCTCGTCCATGCCAAAAAACAGGCTTGCCATGACCCATATTGTCTGTTACCACCAACTGAAATAGAGAATATCTGATTAAGATTTGTCAACCGTTTCACGTATAACCTACCCGTCCTTATTGATATTGTATGTTCAGTTAATACACACCACCTCTCCATATTTCCGATATAACTGAACCTGTGATTCCAGGGCGAAGCAAATTCTGCTGGTTATCCCTGTATTCGAATCCACGTATTATTATTATTATTATTATGCGCATAACATCTGATCTCAAAGGCATGGCTTCAAAAATAACTTTAAACTACTTCAATTACCTGGTCTCACATCCTTACGTAAATTATACTTTTGATTACTTAATGTGTATGAGTTGCCTAGGAATACTCTGTCATACATATATACATATATTACTGATTCCAGCTGACTTAGAGCATCTTGTACTTGAACCCAACTGGTATACCGGTGACTTAACATAATTCCGTCAAAAAGTTTTTTGATATCCACTGATATAGGAACGGCAGGTTGGTTGCCATTGTATCCAGGTGCCAATGCGTTCATTCGGTACCACTGTAAATGAAAACGGAAGCTTTTCAATAATAAATTCATGAATAGCCAACGGAGTACAGTAAGCAACTTAAAAGAGACATTGACTTGGAAACTATAGCGGAAAAAAATATAAATTCCTTACCACAGTTACCGTTTTGGAAAGTTCCTGATTATAGCCATAAACATTTACTGAAACATTCGTGAACGACAAATATGGACACAAGTGATGAAACGAAGCTCTACAGAAATCATTGAGACGCCACAAACAGGAGGATTTTAGGTGCACCCTATAATTTTCACATGAAACACATTCTCAAGCATTCTCCTGCACCATAACTGCCTTCAGGCCTAGAGGAAGCTTTTGACGACTATTCTTAACAAAATCAATACAGTTGAAGCCAAACAGAAACCAGAATCACGTCAAATGCAGCTACCTAGATCAAACGAAACAAATCAGCCGAACTGAAATCAACTAGACCGCGCAAATGTCCTCAAGGTAAAGCTGGAGGCGTCACTTCAAACAGGGGATATGCCTTATCAACGCCCTATTTATTTCTGGCTGAACTACCGCAGCTTCAGCGATTAATTAGTTTAAACATTGAAAACGTACCTTTACCAAAGTGAACTTACACTGCCATCAGTTGCGAAATCAATGCAATCGTAAGCTTTCTGGATTGTGCATCCAGACATTCCATCAAGCGCTACGAAAAGCAGAGTGGCATCAGAAGCTTTTTGGTTTACTTTAACTGGTTTAATTAGTTGAAATATATTTTGTGTGGTTTTATGTCACTGTGTTTAGGTCTATGTACATATTTTTATGTGTAATTTAAACAAATTATACCGACATGAGTCCTTAAACAGCTGTGGACGACCGGACTGCCACTTTCCGGTGGATGATGAGATTCAGTGTGATAACTGAAACCTATTGTTTCATAAAGTTTGGACTGGCTTATCACTATCAGCCTATAGGAGATGCAGAGAGCCACTGTATCCACGGGTGTGCAAACTGTGTAGCACCCAGTTGGACATCCTCATCCAAGGAGCCATAGGATCTCTTATGTCCAAAAATCTAGCAAAATTCTCAGATGAGAGATATAGGTTAGCATTGGGAACCGATTACAGGAATGATAATTCTGAACTGAGTCATAAAAATGACACGGAACCACATCTCGAAGCGATAGACACTGAAGAGGTACAGTGTAAACAAAAGTCTGTAACGGCACACAAAATGTCGTAAAATTCTGAGGAGGCAAGTAGTTCCGACATAGTACCACGACGAAAAATCATTGAGTATCCAGTGAACGCATGACCTCCAACTGTGGCGACAGCAAAGCGGAAGTAACTAATTTCACTTGGTGCAAAAAATAGGAGGCTGAAGAACTATAGGAAAGAGAAAAAGGCTGGACTTAGTGATAAGATATCGATTGCTGTAAATACTAATACGATTGGAAAACCTTCGGACTCAAATCACAGTATCTTAATTTGGAACTTGGAGGAATCAAAGAAAGTAGATCCAGCTGCCCAAAATACTGATGATCTCGAGGTAGTTAGCTCCATCTTTTGTGAAGTAGTTCTTGAAAAAACAAGTGTAGGACATATAAGAAAGGTCACCAGATTCGGTAAACGAAATGCCAATGCAATGGAAATTTCCCCACAACTGCCGAAGTTAGTGCAGAGGAACAAGATAGAGAAGACAATTATTCTCAGCAACTCATTTATGACCAAGGAAAAAAAGGATGCGAATAAGGCCAAACTGGCCTTTGGAAGATAGAATTAAAAGAGGAGAAGCCATGGCTCAATTAAAGACCTGATTATAAAAAGGTGAAAAGATATAAACCGTTGGGCTTTTGGATGGTGAGTTCTTGGTAACCTTTGTTGCCCAGATCTCTGTTCAAAAGTCAGCGTGCAATACGAACGTGTGTGGTCTTACGAGAAAACTCCCTGAATTAGAAGTGTTGTCTGGAGGACTATTGACTGATGGGATTGCTATCACTTGAAAATGGTTGTGAGTGGGTGTAGACTTTACTCTATTCATGCCCGGGTGCATCTGCATTAGAGCACACAGAGTAATTAGTCGGAAAGGTAAAGAAATTGCCCTATAAATGTGGGATGGCATACGAATTAGATCAACGTTACAGGATTTCATCATCAGCTGACATTGGTTAGAGAAACATTGGAAAACCTGGAAGTAGTGGACAGCTGTTTCCTCCTGGCTTGGGACGTTGTCGGAAGCTCATGACAGTTGCACTAGTGAAGCCGTAAGCTATCATCAACCTGGACAAGGGTACAGTGACAAATCGGTTGTTTATAGAAGTCCTGAAACTCAAGCTGACGATTTCGTGCTAAATCTCCTCAGGACGTGGAGTAGTAGAAATGGGTGTCTAATAGTAGATGATTTTCATGCCCTCCATAATAATTGGGAGAAACTAATATCAAATGCCTTGTACACTTGTTTCTACAGGGAACTCATACTAACAGTGGTTGAAAGCGCGCTTGTGCAGCAAATAGATGCACGAACACGATACAAAACTGTACATGATCTTTCCACTCTAGATTTTGTGATAACACACCAGAAGGAGGATGTAGGTGACATTAGGACATGGGGCCGTTTGCAGTAGTGAACATATAGTTATAACTTTTACGCTGATGGTTCACAATGCCATATATACGTCAACAGCGGCTCGTCCAATGTTTCGAAGCGACTATAGCTGTAATCCCAAGTGCAGCAAACCTAGCTGGCTAATCTGTCGCAACAAACGAGAATGTCGAGGAAGCTAGGATGGGATTTATCAAAATATACATTCCCTCTTTGCATGACACACTAGATTAACAGACATCGATAAGTATAATTAAAGTTACATAAATTTGGCTCACGGTGAAACTACATGGTTGCTGTCGTTTTTCACTTAAGTTTGTAGGTACAATCCGCTAACTAGTCATTCAGTGGAGCACATCAAGAAATATAGAAATATTGTCTTTGCATTAACAAAAAACCTAGGTATGTGTTGGATGGATTACATGTACTTGGGAAACAAATAAAGCTTGAAGTCATCCCCCCATATAACTTTGGTATATGCGGCACCGAATCTTATTCTTGATTTATATCCAAATCGGGTATTGACTTAAAGTAAGTTATGTATTTGTATAATTTTGTCAGCAATTTCATCGTAAGTAACACCACAAGTGAATTGTACTCAATGCAGACTAATATTGGTGATTGTCAGGCAGATTTGATTTACTGCGCCCAGGTCATCTGCCACTTGTCGCTGCATGGTTGTTCTGTACGGGTAGGTTGAATGACATGTAAGAAGCTATTCGTAAACCATTTTAGATCATGGATACTGCTTGTATGGATGTTATACAGGGTGCTGATATGGTGACAGTGGAATTTTCAAGGATGCTAAGTCATTACTGTTGACTCTTCAATATTGATTTTTCGCACCTGCAGGATTGAATTTACTGAATTCCCATTGGTGGTTAAAATTTTTTAAATATGGCATTGAGTTTTCTAACTGTATAAATACGGAGTTTTGTTTAACATTTTCGACTGTTGTAGAGACAGTAAAAGCTCTCGTATCAACGTCCAGTCTTCTTTCTTTGTCTAGCGTGCACGGTGGTATTGTCGTTGTTGTTGTAGACATGCGATTAGGACAGATTAGCCAGCGCATTAAGTTAGATTCACTCGCAGTCTACAAGGTCATAATATTCATAAATAACAAATTTTGTCAGCACTTTTGCTCAAGATGAACCCACTGCGTTTAGAGAAACCAATGGAACAGCAGCTAAAAATGCTAGAAATGCTTGCTGGTCTACAGATAATACGCCCTGCCGATTCATCTACAGCCAACGACAGCATTGGTGGTAGCATGTCAGAATTCATTTATGATCCAGCAGCGAACGTGACTTTTGATACCTGGTTTCGCAGATATGAAGACCTATTTCGAGTAGACTTTGCGGATAGAGATGTTACCTGGGAAGTACGGCTCCTACTTCGCAAATTTGGAGCAGATGAGCTAGATAAATTTTGCAACTTAATTCTCCCTCAGAAGCCCAGCAGAAGATCATTTGATGAATTTGTCCATACCCTTCGTCAGCAGTTTGGTGATCAGAGATCTTTATCCAACATTCGATATCATTGCATGAAACTAGCTCTGAACGAAAATGATGATATCCATACTCAGTTGGGTATAGTCAATCGAACGTGTGAAAGTTTTAAATTGAAATCGCTCTCAGAAGATCAGTTCAAGGTATTGATTTTCAATTTCTTTTAAGTTATAAAACCAACACGAAAGTGTGTACTGGTATGACGGATAGCACGTGTATGGGTAGACCATTTGATGCTATGCTTTTTAACCATCAACCCAGGCCCAACCTCTACTATCCTTATATCCAGGAACACATGGTAAATTTTCCAAGTGTCCCGAATCACTGGTACGACCCATGGCACCTAGGACCACCTCACTGCACTCTAACCCCGATGTACAGACACCCAGTCCGACCCCCGTATCACTCATAAACTCTTGCGTTGTTGACGCACAAACAGAGTTAGGTTATGGTGATATCTTAAGCTAGTTTGTAGTATCCCGTGACTTATTCACGATATTGCTAATTAATGCACGTTCCTTAATCAATAAGATATCTGAACTAAGGACATTATTATTTATCGCCAAGCCTACTGTAGCTCTGATTACTGAATCGTGGTGCTCATACACTGTACTTGATGTGCATATAGGCATAGATGATTACACTACACCGTGCAAATAGAAACTGCAAGCGGGGTGGAGGATGTCTCA